GGTATTATGGTAAAGTCACAACTAGATTCGGGTTCAGGTTTAACAGTGATTTCGGAAAAAATTTTCTACGAACTGTTCAATAAAAATTCTATTTTAAGGAAGGTTTTTAAGAGTGTTAACGGTTACCCTGGTGAAGAAATTAATGTTTTGGGTTTCTTTCTCGCGGAGATGGTTTTCAATGGTAAGACTTGCGAATCTTTCAGCATTTTTGTAGTTGAGAAAGGAGGTCCAAATTTGTTAGGCAGGGATTTTATGGATAAATTTAACATAAAATTGACTAATATCAATATGTTAGACCATACCGAACCTAAATTAGAACAATTAAATATTAAATATTCAAATTTATTTAGTGACGGAATGGGTAGATATGTGCATAAAAAATTTAAAATCAGGTTGAAGGATAATGCTACGCCGATATTTCACAAACCAAGACAAATTCCTTTCGCATTTAAGGGCCAGGTGGAAGAGAAGCTGTATAGGTTGGAGAAATTGGGTGTAATTTCCCAGGTCGAGTCAAGCAAATGGGGGAGTCCATTAGTACCGATTCTAAAGAGCGATGGTAGAATTAGAATATGCGCGGATTATAAAGTTACGATAAACAAGTTTGTTCAAGAGGTAAAATATCCATTACCGAGAATCGAAGAAATATTTCAAAAAGTGAGCAAGGAAAAACAGTTTAGTAAAATAGATCTGAGTGAAGCATACAACCAGTTAGAGTTAGACGACGAGTCTTCAAAAATNGTGTTGCTCCTGCCAGTGCAATTTTTCAAAAGTTAATAGAGCAACTTTTCCAAGGTTATGATTGTATAGCAAATTTTTTGGATGACATTATAATAACCGGACAAGACCGGGTAGAACATTTGAATAATCTGGACAAAGTATTTAACATTTTAAATGAGGTGGGTTTAAAAGTTAAATTGTCTAAACGTGAATTTTTTAAAAGTGAAATTGAGTATTTAGGTCATATCATTGCGACGGTGGGTTTGCGTAAATGCGAAAATAAAGTTAGAGCGATCGCAGACGCGCCAACACCGCGCAACACAACGCAAGTTAAATCTTTCGCGGGTATGGTAAATTATTATTCTAAATTCTTACCGAA